CCCCCCCCCCCCACAAATTTGTTTTGACTCCACCTGTTCCTTTGCTCGCCTTCGTGGCGTCCTTCTCCTGCTGTACGCTTCCGATCCCCAAGTCTACAAATCGATCGTCTGCAAGCACGACACGATCAACCTGAGATGCTAAATCTCCAAGAACAAAGCCAATCTCACCGCTTCTCAAGCTGCATCTGAGCGACGTGATCGCCCCCCAAACCGAGCGCCGCATATCGTTTGCTCCGTCTCGCAAGTGCCCGGCTACGCCTCCCTCCGCCCAAGGACCCTCCCTCTGCTGCCGTTGATCCCTTTTCGGAAAAAAAACACCGAAGGGCCGAAACACGGGGAAGCCAGGTTCTCTCTAGGGCGCCCTCTGCCCCAAAAACCAACATCAAACGGGTCAATGGTGGAACGAATCGTGCATATGCAGACGTCAAGTCTTTGGCCCGCGTTGCGCTACTGCAAACTGCCAACGGACCACATGAAAACGGCCACTACTGCAGACGGAACCGGACGGACAAATTATCGACCCACCACGCCGCTATATACACGCACAACAACAAACTACCACGTAGCATTGACCCGAAACCAAGAATCACGCGAGGAACATGGAAGGGGGAATTTTGCATACTCATCTATCTTGAGATGCGCAAGACGGGCAGGTGACTATTGACACTACCAAGAGCTGCTGCTGAAACGACCAAGCAAAAAAAACTCACCACATCGCCGTCGTCCGTTTCGGCAGAGCAAGCAAGGTCTCCCGCTTCGCTGTAGAGCTTGGATACCTCGTCGGAACCCACGCTCTCCGCGTCGCTCAGCCAATCTGCCTCGCTGTTATTGCCGCCGTCGCCGTCGCTATCACTGTCGCCGCTGTTTTCATCGTCATCATCACTACCCCTACCGCTGTCGCTACCGCTGTTATCGCTGCAGCTTGCTTTTCTTCGCCTTTGCTTGCCTGCGGCGGTTTCACCCTCGCTTTCGCTGCTGCTTCCCTGTGTGGGATATAGGGGAGGTACGATCATGAAGTCACTAAACGAGGGGAGAGACGATGACGCCGTCGCATATGTTAGCTAAACCACTAAAAACATGAGTGGTCTGGGACTCAAAGTTTTACGAACTGGCCAGTTACCTTCGCCTGCACCCCAAGCACATCGTGAACAGGTAATCTACAATCAAGCATAGCTTGCTTAGCTTATTACCTTGAAGCTCTCGTCGTCGTCTTCATCTGAATCGGTCGGCAGAACGTCTTGTTGACCGGCTGCACCGCCTTCCGCCCCCGTTTCCACCACCGGGAAAACATCTTTCCATGATGTGAACTTTTCCCCCTGCTCAAAATACGATGGGCCCGGTAGAGAAGCAAGTATACATGAGAGAAAAAAGGGAGCGAGGAAGCAAGGGTGGACAGGTGTCATGATAAGTAAACCGTAGCGGGGAGCACGCACAGTCACCTCGCGAAGAAGGCAGAAAGTCAAGAGTTGTCCTGGCAACCTTCTCGGGAATAGACATCGATTTCGATAACCCACCCGGGGTCTTCTCTTCTTCCACCATCTCCGGTCAACCGGCGAGAAGTTCCGGCCGTTTGCTGGCGCCAGCTACAGTATCACAGTACGCGCACCACAGGCACGGGACTTGCCAACTCTGACCATCCTATCCCGACTCTCACAAGTAAAAGGTGGATCCAGGACGTCCACTGTGTTTGGCGAACGTAAACGCGAGACTGAAAACACATTACCTGGAACTCATTCTCAAGCATCTCGAAGCAATCCGTGAGACACTCGCACTGCCAGCAAAACCAGTCCTCTTCCTCCTCGGGAAACACTTCGGGCTTGATGGGAGGCGATAGACAGTTTTGGTGGTACGCCCTGAAGCACCCGGCGTAGTCACAAAGCAAGATGTCGTCATGGTCATCCGAGTCTCCTTGGCCGCACCTGCCAGGGGTCCAGCACGCCGCGGGGGGTTGTGTAAGGGTAGAAGAGTAACGAACGGGGTCAAGGCGTTAGGTGATGGGCCAATCAGGGTCTGGAACTCTGTACGCCGTTTGGCGTGTAATCGATTTGATGGTACGCATAGCAACGTCGAGTTGCTCCTAATTGCTCCAGATGGGAAAATCGACCCAAAAGTAGCGGCAAGAAAAGAGGCTACTATCCGACTCTCTGGGACCCTTTTTTGCTTGAGTCCATCGTGGTTCACGACCTCAGCCGCTGCCGGTGCTCACAGCACAGACCTCGACTTGTCACGAAAACTAGAATGACACCTCAGAACAGCCACGTCCCATGTGTGCAAGCAGTCGAAGGTCCTCGATCTTGAGTTGAACAGGAGAAATGTTGTGGCATCGCAACTGATAATTGTCGGTGTGCCGTATTGGAAAAACTCCTGCTGGAGAAACGTTTGGGGATATGGCGCTCCTCGAATCGGTTGTGTGTGAGAACATGGCGCACGCCATGGCAGGTGCACAGTGATTTAAGACTTCAACGTACTTATTCCCGCAACCGGAAAAACAGGAACACGCAGGAGTAGGAGGTACGCAACATGTTACCCGGCGAAACGACGGCTCACTGCAAGTCTATCCAAGCACCACCATACAGGAAACGCGCACGAGCGAAGCTCACTTGGTACACATGATCTCGTCGACCTCGATGTTGCCCTCTCCGTCTTCCTGTATCGCTCCCCATCGCAGGCCACCGGGGTTCATCTCGGTGAGGCGCCGGGTTACTTCTCGCAGCTCCGCTTGTATCCCCCGAATTTTCTCTCTAGCCTGAATGACAAGCCAAACACATCGTCGAGCTAGGTGAAAAACAAACAACTATCACCAGGCTACCAACATCCACGGGTGGGTAAAAGCCTTGAACCACTTGACACTTCGTACGAGCATATCGCGAATTATTCAGGTTCTACGTGATTGTCCGAGACATTTGAAGATAGTCGCGACTGAAGTCATGGAGGGAAAAATCGTGCCACCAATATCGGCGGCAAAAATCCAGCAGCAACAACATGACTGCGACTGCGGTGGAAAGAAAGCGTTTGGATCTGAAACAACACCCAAACGCGCATACAGTGAGAATGCTTCCCCAAAGCACCGGGATGTCGCGAACCGCAGGCGAGCAGATCTTCCGCCTTGCCTACGTAAATCATGCAGAGCCCCCCATGCTTATTTTCTCGAAGATGGCATTTTTTCAGTGAGTTAACACAGCCAAGTACAAACCAGCAGACAAACTTCACAATACTAGAAGTTGTACAATATTTGAAGGGAATAGACACCATGATACAGAAAGGTCGGGGAGGGGGTAGAGGAAGCAAAGGCGAGGAGGGCTGCTGTTGTAGACTACAGACCAAAGTAAGAGAGCCACAAACCCGCAGCCGTCGAAATGGCGCCACACCCACCTTCTCGAGTTCGGCTGTGGGTTTCAGCTTCTCCCTGCCGCTGCTCTTCCATCCATCCTGCTGGTATACCTGTTGTGACCGGCAAAAAAGTGGCCCCAACAAACGTCAACGTTAGACGTGTCACCAGAATGCGAATTACCGTAGCGTTAGGCATTGCTCCTGTGGGGTGCTGGCGTGGGGAACGGGGAGCGACGGACCGACACAAACCACCCTCCTTCCTCAGAGTAGTCGTGCTCCTTGTAACACAGGACAAAAACAACAACAACAACAACAACACAAACACAAACAGAACAACATCCCACCACCACCACCACCACCACCACCACAAGTCATGGGAAACCATACATACTTTCGGGCTGAGTTACGGGTTGACGTGGCTTTTCGATATTGCCAGAAACAAGAAAAAATCATTACTCCTCCAACCATTGCCCACTACTGGTGCAGACTCGCTCAAATTCCAACACAGTTGTGTAGCTGTCTTTTCCAGCAATCGCCACCTGGAGGAAGTGGGTGTCTCTCCGCATCTTGTGCAGCAAAAGCTTGAACTTGGCGCGGATCCTATCCCATCGGTTTTCCCCATCACTGGCGTTTCGAGAACGCTTCCTGTAGGTGCGACACGGGTCATCGAACACGAGCAATACTTTGTTCGGGAAGGGTTCTGGTTCTTTGGCCACGAAGGGATGGGGAGAATTAGTTCCTAACTCACAAGCTCCCCACTCATAGCAGCGGGAGCGAGGTACAGCACCACGGGTATTATATACAAAATTACGTGCAAGAGTTCCGTGCCGTATCATCGGCGCATACGAAATCTAGACTACGCACTAGACGACCACAAAAACCTGGAACACTCGCCTGTGCACATCGCTCCCAGCCCCTTCAGCCGTGGGCGTGTCCTCGTCCGTCAAGAGGTCTTGGAAGCCGCTCCGTTTCTGCGCATCCTTGCGTGGCCTACCCCTTCCGTCATGCTTGCGCGGCCTACCGCCTTTCCGACCGCGCGGCTTCCCCGTGTCGGCTTCGGGTGTGAAAACTGCCCGCGATTTTACCGTCCTGTAACGGGTTGATCAGCCGTGACAGCGGGCGATTTTTGGTGTGGCTACAGAACAGCAGTATATCGGCAACTCATCTTCCCAGGGCGCCGCTGCAGATGTATATCAGGGTATCGCAAACCACCGCCCCAGAATAGCAAGGGTTCTACAAATCACCTAGTACTTGGTACAACTCACGCTCCCAGTAACATAGGATTCGGTAAAACGACAGCAGTACATGCCCGTGCACAGCGTGTACAAACAGCAAATGTACTGAGGTACCCTGTACGCGTATTACATATGTCGGCGAAAGTAGCCACCAGTGTTCACGGCGAGGTCAGCCCCACCTCTATCCGACATGTACACATTATTGTTTTGCGGGTGAAGAACTGGGTAGAAGCCTACATACAACAGTAGTTAGGGCACCGCACTCCACTGTTGTCGCCCGGGAACATGCCAACAGTTCGACTCCTCAGCTGCTGGACTTCGGTAACGAACGATAATGAGTTATAAGGTGCACATCAGGCGTTCACATCAGTCAGACCTCTCTACCGATCACACCTTCAGTCACACAGTCCTACCGGCCTACCAGAGTGGCAAACATTATTCCATGCATCTTTACCTCGTTCGTCTGCTCCTGACTTGCGGACAAGCACCGCCGGGAGCATCAGCAGCAGCATCGCTCCCGGCTTGAGAAGAGGGTTCGACATTGAGGGATGAAGCAGCCCGAGCAGGCACATCTCCGCTGGAGTACCCAGAATCCCGCGCATCGGACGAAGAAGGAGCAGAGCCTTCGTCATCTCCTCGCGGATCAGGCGGCAAGCGGAAGGGTATACCAAGGGACGACATCTGGTACGTCGGTCCAACGATCTCCCACACCAGTGGTGTCCGCCGTGCATGCGGCGTCAATGTATACTGGTAGTGGATAGTGGAGTGGCCGCAACGCAAATGTACTCGGGGGGCTCCGTGACAAAAACTCACCCACCCCCGTCTATTGCGTTTAGCCGAAACGCTCGTTCGACGCCGCCGCCTTCCCTACACATGTTGGCGTCCGACAACGGGTGTTTGCTGTTGCCCAAGTGCGTTGTGCGCATGTGTCACATATGAATAGTAGCGCAGGAAAGAGTTTCAACACTCTCAGAAAATGGAGGGGAGGCGCAGGAGAGGCAACCATGCGGCATCGGGAACATCGATGTCCAAACTCCGTAAACTCCGCGAGCAGGTATTATAATGATGGAGGTACTCCGATGGTCCCCCCGGGTTGTCCAACATTTGAGTTGTTCAGCTGATGCCCCTGGGTTTGGCCGCACTCTTTTCAAATGTTAATGATACTTGGTGGAGATTGTGGTACCATATGCAGTAGACTACACTGCTGTACACACTAGATAGCACAGCAGCAGCAGACCGTGTGCTTTCCTCGGTGTGATGGTAACATTCAGCGACCGACACCACGAGAGAAACATGTTCCTTCGTCTGTGCGTTTGACATCGCTAGGGACGGCGTTCGACCTATCCTCGATGCAGCTCTCACAAACCTCTCTACCCTCCTTTTTATTCCTGGCTAGCAACGGAAGTCGATTTAATATTTGATTGCATGGCATCTCGCCAGATAGCCCGGAAGGAGGTGGAAGTGGACGATGTGGTAACACACGCACGGCAAGGAAGCGACCGACGAGTCCTAGCGACCCGCGGAAGATGCGCAGCTGAAAATGAACTAGAGGAGGCACTCCTCGAGCTCACGGTAATACATTACGAGGGTGCGGATAACATAATGTATTTTGTAGGTATGCATACAAGTCTATATAGTTTTGTGGCCACTATTCGAATTAAACACGACGTCCGTCTCACAGAGCCCCGCCCTTCAATCCTCTTGACAGAACCATAAGTTCCATAGATCTCTGCAGTTTGGGGTGCGTGGGGATGGCCGTGGCGTGAAATCACCTAGAAAATCCGTGCTTCATCCATGAAAAAGAAGAACTTTGGAAATAATGAAACACAATTGTAGGATCCCGGGTACAATATTAATCGAGTCGAGGGCTATCCTGTGCTTGTAGGTTCGCCCTTCCATGTGACGAACAATCAAGTACAGCCATGCACGGCCTTGTGTTGTTCTCCTTTATGGTAGACGTCAGTTTTACGCCTTTCGGTGTGTTTCGGGAGCACCAGCTGGGGTCACACTGGAGGATCGCTGACTTCTCCATGTTCGTGCCGCGGTACTTGCACATGTTTTTCGCGAGAAGGATACAGCCTTCCGGTTCTGTCCTTGATCGTGAAGGTCGAATCTTGTGTACACAAGGCCGTAGGCGTTTTTCATTTGCTTTGGCAGGAAGTGGCGAGAATACCACTTCGTGTAACCTCGACAAAACCTACTTACAACGTCAAAAGATTGTGGGATTGCCCGCTTTCCTACCGTGACGACGTGAGGTTGCCATGCTTCAGAAACAAAGTTGGTGGAGTCGATACCCATGCAAATGACTGACGCACCCGGGTTCGCGTATAATGAAGGCAGGCCCTTCAGGAGCGGGGCCGTGCTACAGTTGAGCTCTCGTCAAAGGCCAGCCCTTTGCTGAAGCAGGACATCAGCACCAAACGGCTGGATCTCCTCGCCGCCAGTCCGCCCTTTATTCTCAAGCTGGAGCACGCTTTGGTTACCGTCGCAAAGGTGGATCAAGCAACTACGGAACCGCGAGCACAAACGACAAGGTTCGCTGTTCTGGTAGCATATCGTTCTCTTCGGCGCTTTCGCCAGCTTTTGATCTCGAATTCTTGTGCGCGTTGCCTCAACCGACCCCTACCGGGTCGATAACGGGGCTCGTCCTCGAACTCGTTTGTAGCACATAGTCATATGCATGGGCCATAGATTCTATCGTCTAAGCCAGTAATGTCACGCATGTCCAAAATTCATGCTGAAACAGGTTCCAGGTCTCATTGTCAATGTAAGCAAGCACTCTGATTAGCGTTGCGGTAAGCCTGATGACACGGAAAAACTTGGCTTCGGTCGAGGAATCATGGCATGAATCGTCGCATTCAAATATCGTCCGTACAGCAGGTGGAGGTCTACCTTGAAGAGCCTCATGAAGGACGTCTCAGACGGTATCGACAACTTTAAGCAGCTTCCCGGCCGCGAAAAAACGAGCAAGACTGTCGAGCAGGAACTCGCACTAGCTGCCGCTGCGGCCCGGCGTCTATCCCTGCACGTCAACGCCTGGACCACGGCCGAACTCTTGCAGGAACTCGAGCGCATATGGCTCCAAGCTGTTCGAGCGGAGGCGACAATAGACCCACAGTTTCAACACGTTGTCACGGAATGGGAAACCGCCTGCGCCGCTCTCTCACGGTTGTCTCGGACAGCCCAAGAAGATTCGGTCACCGGTCAGGCAGAGCGGCATGCCTCTGCAACCAGAATCCGCGACTGCCGAATTCGAGCGGGTGTCGGATCAAAGGCTAAGAAGACCGGGTGGTGGAAGCAACGACAGATGCGTTTTCTACGGGAAGAGCTCAGGCACATTGAGCGCAAGGTTGCTCCATTGGCCGATCCGTCCCGCTTAGTGGCTAGGTTAGTGTTTTGAGATCGATCAGGATGGGGGACCGAAACATGAAGAGGGGGGGCGTGGTACATGCAGAAAGAACCGATGAGATGTAGCTTTCCTGCCAAGATTTGGTCACTAGCATATTCCTGAATCAATGGTAGCGTCTATCGTAAGGCATGCGCCCCCTGAACACCTCCTACCGCCCTCCCTGCCCGCCACGCTTTCTTTGCAGATACAACCTCCTGCTAGCAAGATGCGCAGAGGTGGGGGGATGGGCAATAGCCGTTTCTGCCTACCAATCAGCAAGAGCCCGAGGCGTCATCACCAAACCCATGAACAATAGGCGAGACGCGAATCCTTCGTTCTCGCTGAAACCTTTGGTCTACCAACACCTTCTCCGCGCGGCAAAAAATGCGACCCCCCCCCAACCTCGCGCGGCCCTGCACGTGCTGCGAGAAATGAGGCTCAGAGGCGAAGAGCCTGTTGCCACGCACTACAACCTCGTTGTCAGCGCATGTGCTCGGGCTGCCGCCGTCGCGGCATCCACATCGGCCCTGATGCCGTTAGATCGTGATGGCACTGAGGGCCACGCGGTCCTTCGCGAAGACCGCTTGTGTCAGGATATCGGGGGTGCTGACGGACACAAGAAGGAAGGATTTTGTGGTGCTATTCACCTAGAAAGTGATAGCAGCGGTGGGGTCGTGGCCACAGAGAACGAAACGCCCAAGCCCGCAAAACTTGGCAGCGGTCATAAGTGTGTAGCAAAAAATATGCGGTTGAAACAGACCGCCTTTGGCGCCAAAGTTGATGTCGAAGACGTCCCAGACCGTTGTTGCTTACTGCCCACGGCAGGCGATGCCATGCAGTGTCGGGGGGCTGAAGCTGCCGGAGATTCCTGGCGGCTAGCCTTGGACGTGATCGCAGACATGCGCATGAGCGGAGTCACGCCGACACTTGTAACGTTCAAGACACTGGTAGAGTGTTGCCGCTGTGCTGCAGCAGCGTCTGTGCTTAACATAGGCGGGGGTGAGGGGTTGGGGAAGGGGTCTACCCCGGCGGAGGTGTATTCTGCGTTGAAAGAGGCTGGGATTCCGACACGGTTCTGCTATCAGGCCGGGTTGGGGAACGCAGTGAAGGGAAGGAGATGCTTCCCAGCGTATGTCGCTGAAATCAGTAGATGAATCTGGTGTGCGTTGTTACTTGCTGTCAAGAAGTGTTTGTGGACCAGGTGGCACCAAACATAACATTGGGAAAATGCCGTTCGCTTGCTCTGGGAAGCCACGTCGGTTTACAGTAGTATTGTCCAAGGTATAGGATATCGATCGCTACATGCGCTACCACCAGTCGCTTGCTGAATACTAGAAAATCTTGCTCCCTTTCGCATGAGTTTCGGCGTCGTCCTACAGTAGGTGCTGTTCTTGATCATTCAAAGCCCCAAATCGTGGTGCCGCAGTGCTCAGGACTTAGCAGTGCTTGGTTTTCGATTTAACTCAACCGCTAAACAAGCGAATTTGGGATGTGCACCATAGTATGACCCAGCACAGGAGCCCTTGCTTCAGTCCAGTTCAAAAGCGAGGTGGTCCTTCAAGGAAGCCCACCCTCGCCCTCCGCCCCCTCAATGGTCTTCTCGTAGCTGCAGGCCCCGTTCAGGTGCCGTAGTGATTTATGACAATGGCAAACAGTCAGGCAAAAGAGCGTGGACGGAGATGAAAAACAAGTAGCGCGAAGCTTTTCTAGCCAAACATTCTCCGGTCACATGCAGTCGGTTCAACGGGCTGCATTAGGAGCACCTGTCACAACCGAAAGGGAATAAACAACCTCGAGAAGAAAGCAAATGCCCAAAAAATGAAAATTTTTGCAGTGATCAGTTTCGATGTGGTATTCAAAGGTATGATGCCGCTCTCGGGTTTGTTTCCGTTTGTCTAACTTATGATAACCAATCATGCGTATCTACCGGGCGGATGTACGAGGGTTCACCTGTCCAAACACTCTTGAAAGTATCGCTCCCTAACCCTCACCATCTCCGAAACGTCATCCAGTTGACAGGGACACGACGCACGGAAGGATACAAGATCACACTAAATTCCTAGTTACAAAATAATTGACTCGACGGAAACCGCGATAAGCGCTTGGTGTGAGTTACGAGTCACGCGTGGTGGCGAGCACATAAATCAAGGAAATCGCTCACGTTTCGTGGAACCTTGTCGCCATATGGTGAAACGGCGCATCGATACCTTTCGCCCCCGCTGCAGACGTTTCGAAGTAGTCTAGGCCATTCTGAAGGGCGAATAGTCGCCCCTCCTGCAAGCAAGCATGTGGCAATGCCAACCCGAGGAAATTCGGAAGAAATCCAGAGACAGACGGGCATGCGCTGTATAAATGCGTAGTTTCGAGGTACCCTTTACCCAAGGGTTGTCTGCAGGCGGTGAAGCCTTTGTGCAGTCCCAGACAGAATTCTGTGTGAGGTTCACACCAAGGTCTGTGCAGACTGGAGTCTGTTGAGGCAGCGACCGAAGTCGATGGTGTTGCTAAATGCCAGTTCTTGGACTTGTGCTCTCCAGTCTTGTTCACTTGACAGCTTACTTGCAAAGTTCAGATGTTGAGGGAAAGTTGGGACTGAGCCTTGTTGTGGGGCTCGCAACACCTCGTGATCTCGCTACAATTATCATCCTTTGATTGACATCGATTCATGCACGAGCTCCTCGCTATAACTCGTCGCTACATGTAACGTTCAACCATACGCTGTTTATCATACCGCATTTGTACGTATCATTTGCAGGAACAAACGAGTGTTGGTGAACAAGAAGGTGTCTGACAACCTGGGAAAAGTAGCACCAGAATTGCAATAAAGTGCATTCAGTATGGCTAAAACCAAGTGGAAGGACTTGGTTGAAGAGAAGTTAGTAGTGATAGATGGGACCACATGGTGGAAACAAATTTGTACATGGATGGAATCGTTCGTATTTCAACATACACCACATCGGATTGGACGCCGGAAAAAGACCTGAGGCTTTGCGCAAATATTGCGAGTACATGAACCTGAGTTGGGCGGATGCCACTTTACTTTCAACAGTAACAAACAGGGTACTTGCCTCGGTTCCGACGACGGCCCTGGCATTTATCCCTCCTTCCCTCAAGTCTGACTTGTTAGCGATTACAACCCCCGGGAGGGGTGCCGACTTGGATGGCAGGGCCGCTCGTACTCCCTGCAGCCACCGCCCACAGCTTTCAAAGGAATCCCTGTTGCTCACGTCGAATACCACACACACAAACGCTGCGTTCTCGTAGTATGCCGCCCCCTTTTATGCGGCAACCGACAACAATAAGACAATTGCCAAACAACAGCGCGGCGTCATTAGTTCGGGCTTCAGCATCAAGTTAGATTGGCAACTGCTGTGCCGCACGTCTTTCGTTGCGTGCATTCGATTGTTCGGAATTCTCAGGTAGACAAACCCTCGTACTTTCTCTAAATAACAGCAGTTCAGGCATAAGGGCGCTGTGGGGATCGCAGTTTCCTCTTCAAAAAACCAGGAAACGCCTGCACATCTCAGTTTTCCAAAGTCTAACTCCAGTACGAAACTTCAATCGCAAATGAATCGTCCGCGCACCCCCCCTCTTATACAATCTTAGTATCTGAGGTTATAGCCCTTGCGATACACTGCAGACTAGCGGTCCGCGATTTTCCAAACGATCCTTCTATCATCGAGATCGGTGAGCTACAAGCTGGATTTTTGCAGCTGCTGTACGGTCCCAGTTTGAAACGCTTCAAGCACCTTTGCTTCTGGCTAGAGATACATATACATCACCGCAGGCATGCAAATCGCCGGTGGCGATGAGAAGAACATGTGAGGGAAGAGCTGCCCTGAAGTTCGCGGCCCCACAGACTCACATAGGCGTTGATTCGCCGTTGCTGTATGCTTGAAGCGTTTCAAAGTCGGACCGCACAGCAGCTGCAAAAACCCTTCTTGTAGCTCACCGATCTCGATGATAGAAGGATCGTTTGGAAAATCGCGGACCGCTAGTCTGCAGTGTATCGCAAGGGCTACAATCTCAGACATTAACAACACTGTCTACGAGGGGGGGTGCGCGGACGATTCATTAGCGATTGAAGTTTCGTACTGGAGTTAGAATTTGAAAAATTGAGAGGTGCAGGCGTTTCCTGGTTGTTTGAAGAGGGAAACTGCGATCCCCACCGTGCCCTTAAACGGGCAAGACCCAATCGTGTACCGTGCTGTAGAGACGGGCGAAAAGGACTGCAATCTATAAGTCAGAAAACGTTGCACCTTGTCATGCACGCTCCACCGCATTATCGATCCCCTCACTAACCTGTTCAAGCTTGTTGAAAACTCCTTGTCCAGGGCAATCGAACAGAAACAGCTCTACCACGCAGTCCGTCTCGGGAACTTTCACCTGCTTCACTCCAAAGTCTACCCCAATGGTCTGCGGGGTGTGTGTGGTGTTTAGGGTCGACGTCGACGATAAATATCGCATTGGATGCGAGAGTGCACGGAGGACTGGTGGATATTGGGACAAGCCCACAGCAGCTGTAGTATTATGTGGATGAGTGGATTTTACAGCTGAACAATGAGCGAAAAATGTGATGTGCATCAACTTGTCTGGAAAAATACACAACGCATGCAGTTCGCCTTGCACACAACTTACTTTCTTGCGTGTATCATACTCCGATAGTGGGCAATATTCCGGGAGATCCAAACCCAAACGAAAGGTTGACCGTCATCTCCCCTCCTGCTGCACATATCACATCTTGACCTGCTGCATGCCAACGAACCCTTCCAAAGAAATCGTTCCACGGTTGTACGTACACCGCAACACCGCATGTAGCATGTGCTGCACGGAGCCAAGCGTATGCATCCCCACTCCTGTGAGTCGATGAAAATATAGTGGAAAATGTTGTTAGGCCATACGTGCATAGACAACTGTTTTCCGATGAGATCTCGAACAGCAGTACCTCACCATGATGTAGTTCTTTGGGTAGTCGTGGCCGCCACTCTTGAACATCTGCACCACCGACGTTTTCCCCACGCAAGCGTCTCCGACAACAACGACCTTGGCTCGAAGCATCAACGTTGTTCTGTGAGTTGTTTGCATGCTGCGGACTCCGCTCTGGGACGGTGCCGCAACGGACCCCGACAAAATTGTGTCAGCCCGAGACATGGCTTTCTCCGCCCGAGGGAGGGATTGTAGCCAACACTCTCAAGGCGGATGCCCAACAAGGGTCACAGGGCGTGCACCGACACAAGCCAGGCAAGATCCGGATCCTGCTGCTTTTGTTGCGCCGCACAGGTTTGCACTTGAGTTACCACCACACCAGCACAAGATCCAAGAATTTCCACGACCAGGCTCGAGTCAAAACTGGGGTTAAGGTGTACGGCGCTGTGAGTGCGTGTGGGGTGCGTGTGGTGCATAGTGGGAGACGGAAACCCCTTGCCTCCTCTCTCCTCGCCGTCCCTTATGGCAAGTTTTCATAATACTTGCATGGCGGACACATATTTTTACGGTTTCGTTTTTCTTTCAATCGGAGAAACCGACGAGAGAATCAGGAGAAGGGATATATTTCACAACTTATCTACAACGTGTGCTAATGTGCTGCAAACTGCGACCGAAGCGACTACACGAGGCAAGGCATCGAGTGTGTACGCTGTGTTTTTGACCGTTGATTTATTCTACATGGTGTATTTATCAAAGCGAAAACAAGAAATATATCTTCTCGGAGTCGTAAGTCCGACCAACCAAGCGGGACAACTGCAACTGATTTAATTATCTGTGTCTCTGTGTCCGGACCCCGTCTGTCGTGCCCCCAAACACAACCAAGGCTGTCGAGATTCCCCAGCGGTTCAAATCCGCAGGCACGCTTGCTTGACCTAGCGTCATACACCTGGCGATTCGTCCAAACCGAAGCCCAGCGTGGTGGTGCTACAGCAGTACTGCTGTAGCTGTACCATTGACGATAAGCCCTGAGCTATAACTGATGCATCCAAGAAGATTGTCCGTCGCAAGCGGTACAGCTCTGAAAAGTCTCCAACGGCGGCATCCCTGGATCCAAGCGGCAGCAATATTGGCTTGCTGGTATGTCACCGGAGTACATGCACATACTCTTCGACTTAGGGTGCAACCCGGCAGGGCGGTCGGTGGGGAAGCTTTCTTGGAGCAGCCGCAGGTGGAAATCTTGGAGGGCGATGGTGGAGATGTCGACGTCCTATTTGAGGTGAATGTGTTTCCCACAACGCAGCTACCATCCTTGTTGCACTTAGCCTTGTGATTTCGACAGTCTTTATTTATCACGCTCGCTGTCCGGCCGTAGTGGTAACATCTTGAACTGACGGTCGTGTAGGGTATTGCACCTGTTGGGATGCTTTGGAGCGGGACTCGCGAATATTACGATAGGTTGCGGAAGACACCACACGCCCTCTGGACCGTTCATTCTAGCTAATTCCCCACGAAGAATGCTAGTCTAGACTACAGCCTATATATCTTCGGACGCTCTCGGCGAGAGGGTCCCATCGCCGCCATTTTGACATTGCCATTGTGGTTTGCAGAGTATTCGAGCCTAGGAGGTGCAGTACGTGTTGTGCAACCAATGGTACATGAATGAACGAGTGAATTGCACACAGAGCTACATCCGTATCCTTGTTTGGTTGGTGGGTACCCTTACGGGTACAATGGCGCCACCTGATACTCTTTGTAAATGTAGGTCGCGTACAGCAATAGCAAAATGAAATTAGAAAAACCCACAACTCCAGTTCTGTTTTACTCCCGTTGCCGTACTAGACAGCGTGTACGGTGGATATCTAAAGGCGACTGCAACATGTGGAGGTCCAGCAATACGGTGTACGAAACAAGTTCAACGTAGGGCATTTGCGTAGCAAATCAAGTTCGTTTCGAGGAGGCGATTCATAAGCCACCACCACACCACCAACATGCACCGTGATATCTTCGTAAACGCAAATTCTGCGTAAGCTGAAGCCAATACTTTCACTCTATTTTCCACCAACCGCTCAATGTTCGGGCAGGGGTACGCAACAGCTGAGATGATATCTAGCCCGAGTGGGTTCTCCGTTCTGGAGAATGATAATATCACCGGTCGAGGCAGCACCGCGTATCTCACGGACGGGATGGGTCGGGCGACCTTTTCAGGATTGTTCATCAAAGAGGCTGGCGAGGGTTTTATTTGTCGTTTTGTGGCGTTCAACAGTGCGGGTGTTGGAGTAGCCTGGACCGATTCTGAACCCTTTGACGTTGGAGTCGGCGAGCCGTACGCCATTGCATTGAGTACTTCTGTGGGGCGAATGAACGGAGGCTCTACCTTCGACATCCCCCCCGTCATATCCATTCAGGTGGGTTTCTGGGTCCGATGTAGCCATGCACTGTAGTCGAACATCTTTAGAGACAACAATGATTGCAGATTTCTCGTCGAATATGGGCGACGCCATTAAATCTCCAAAGAGAAAGCACGGTTTCGTGCTCAAGAACAGATGAGAGACGACTGTGTGAGACCTGAAGGTTTCTTCCTTTGGGGGTTCTGTAAGGCGAGTTCGCTTCAACTTAAAGGAAGAATGTCCTACCATGACCTGCTAGCAAGGAGCGTTTGGTGCCCTGGTTTTCGAACAAAATTTACTTGATTTCGGGGGATATGATGTTGATATTACGCAATAGACGTCACGCGAGCGTTACACCGGCAGACGATAGACGTGTTCTTATATTGTACGTAATCGCACGTGATTCCATGCCCGCTTTGCCTGCAATATGCTCATTTTTTACTTCACACGACAAAACACTGTCATCACAGGACAAGGGTGGAAACGTAGTCGACACATACAGTGAAGGCCGCGTAACTGCAACACTTGTCGCAGACGCAGGCCTTGGAGAACTTCTGCCGGCCAACCAGGTTTCCCAGGAAATTCGGTGAGACAAATTGATCATGTGATGAATTCGTCATTGATCCAGTCGGCAGTCCACGCCCGACTTAACGTCTCTCCGAATTTCACCCCCATTTAATTAAGACTTTTGATAAAGACAAGGTTCAGCAGGCAAATGAACTTGTGGAAAAGTTGTGCGTTACTGAAGAAGCAAACTTAACGGCACTCGTTAGCTACGTGCCAACGACGAGTATCAAGAATGCGGTTTTCCTACTCTAGATTTGATATATAGCATGCATCAACTCGTGTGACTGCCACGAATAGTTGCATAACTGGGAATCAAGTCCTGTGTTATGGGCATTCCGTGTGTCCACATCCTATGCCATGTATTTAAGCTATAAGTAGTAATCATCACCATCTTGATACTCCTCGTTGGCAAGTAGCTGACGAGTGTCGCCAAGTTTGTTTCTTCTGTGGTCCTTGTTGTTTTACCGCCGCCAACGTCTGCAAATTGCTGTTTTAGTGCTACCGCCAGTCCAGGACATATCTTTGTCGTCCTGCTTTTTCACTCCTCCGTCGTAGCAACTGTGTCAATGCTGTAGCGGTGCCCTTATCGTGGGTGCCTATCGTTTCTGGTGAATTTTTCGCCAAGGATCAGAACCGTCCTGGACACCACAAATGCACAACCGCAGTGATCATTTTTTGTCTGGTGAAGTTGTGCTCGCCTGCAGTAAACTATGATCAAGCCAATCATAGCGCTCGCTCCAAGCCTGCTCGTCACCCCCCCTCTTGCTCTCCGTCGGTGTGCCGAAGGCCAGATATATGCCCCCTCTCCCCGCAGCAATTCTTGAACGTAGTCTCAACCGCTTTCAGAGTTGATCAATATCTTGGAGAACATCTTTTCGATAAAATGGGAGAAAGTAATGGTGATAAATCGCAACATCTCAACATCGATGACCTTTCCCAACCCTCCACCTGTGGTGGTTACGGCAGGTATGGATATGTACATTTCGATTCTCTGTATATAAAAGCGGCCGGGATTGACTACCGTTTGGGCTTTAACGCGACGGGTTTGACCACTACCCTTGACGGGACCAACTATGTCGAATCCGATCACTTCACCGTCGCTATTGGTCCGGCGTATCGGTTGGAGTTGGATGTTGACATCCTGGCTGGTGCCATCGTCTCGGGGTCTCCGTTTGAGGAGCAGGTAAGGCGTGAAACAACGACGTGGACGAAAAGGGGTTGTTGCTTGGCTGAAGTACTTTTTTCTGGTGACGTGCAGGCTACTTGAACGAAAAGACATTCATCGGGAATGACGGAGGTACTATTAATGCGCGTGTTCGCGAAGCATTCAATACACCTAGCGAGTTTGAGTTCTCGGTGAACATCGTACTATTGTAGGCTAAGGGACAGTCGCCCCGCCGTATGTCAGTCAGACTGTTCTCGATACAAGCTCACATAAGAACTGAAAACTTCTAATTTTGTGTACGCACAAGCAATTCAATACAACAAGCCAACACTCCTATACCCCCCTTCTTTTTGCGCTATACCAGCCGCGAGTGCGAGCCTACGACCTGGGCGACAACATGCTTTCAAGCAGCGAGTCCGCCGTGTTGGTTACTGTCTTTGTCAACCCCGTAGCGGCCACGCTGAGACCGACGGACAGCGTATTTGAGGTGGGTAGGAGTTCCACGACGTGCGGGTAGGGGCGTCTACTTCGTTTGAGGCTGTACGATCATGGTGTGTTGCCACGAACCGCCGCTTCGTGTAAACTCCGGGCAGCGCACGTAAGAGATTTGCTGGCCATGCACGTAAATAACCATTAATTCTCAGCAGGATGGCGCCGTACAAACGTGTTCTATTGGCCAAGTCTTGAAGGGTGGGCTTTATCTCAATTTCTTGTTTAGATGTGGTAGAGAGTGTTGCGCGCGCGCTGGTTCGTCCGGGCGAGAACTCGATTTACATTCGGTTTAATTATTAAGTATGCTACTTGCTGTGCTGTGTCAGGTAATGACGGAGGGAGTCGCAACTTTCAGTGGCTTATTCCTCGACCGGGCGGGTCGAAACGTGAAGCTGCGATTCTCACTCTACGATTTCGACCGCGCTACCGGGGATTGGATCGAAGCCGGAGTTCACTTGGACACAGACTTTTTTCACGTGGGGGAGGGGACACCGACGGCACTGCACTTGGAACAGGTAAATATCTTCGATACAACCACTATGTATCCCAGCATTGCCATCCGCCCTCTCGCGAACGGATTTCCTAATTTCCTACGCGATTGCTGCTGCCGCAGGAGGATGGTGTGGCACTCGTCGATTGGGCTGCACGCTTTCTGTCTGCGTTGTTTCGGAAACCTTAGCCTCAGTTCTCATCGAGCACTGTTTTGGTGAGAAAAGTCGGTAATATTTGGTGTGATTGTGAGAGAATTTCCGGCTACACGACTGAACCATGTGTCGTCGAGGATCTAAGAAGGCAGGAGAAACTTTTCTCGGATGGGGTTGTCGGTGACGCAAATGGGC